CATACCACAGTCTTCAAGTTCCTTAGACATCTTTTGTGACAGAACATCTAAAACTTTAAAGTTGCAGAAAGTGTCAACAAAACTTTGCCTTTGACTACAGAAGCACGACATCCAATAAGGGATGCTTTCTTCGCTGGTGAAAGTTAATGTCACTTAATTTGAACAACTTTCGGTATTTGCCAGTGTTTATGTCTAGAATGACTCTCTCTCCGCTGTCATAAAATAAGATATAAAGTAGCAACGACTGCAATATTGATGTCTCCAGAATGGAACGGTTGATATTTATGTATTGGTTGTAATTCCTTAAAGCATGCATTGCATGCAGGACGACTTTCGGCTCTGCTTTTCTTGGCTGCTACGAAGATCTGGAACTAATACAAAATCTCTTTCAGTGACAAGGATGCATTCTTGCCGATAGCAATATTCAAGAAAGCATCCACCCAGTTTGTCGAAATCCCAGTTTGCAGAAACTCAGTTTGCCGAAACCCAGAATGCCAAATCCAGTTCACTAAAATCATGAAATCCTATTTTCCCAAAACTCTGTTTTCCCAGTCCAAATCTCTGTTTTGTGTTACAAAAGTACAGCATACTGTGCATTTGAAAGGAAGGAGCTCCATTTGTGTACAAATTAAAAAGAAAAATATTCGAAGACAACAAAGCTGTAGAAAAACACACTTGAAAGCATGGCTATCAGTTAAAATTATAAATAAAATGAAACGAAATTAAGGATAAGCAATCGTATCCTTCTAAAATACTCCCTCTGCAAACCTTATCAAGATTGTTGTGCCAGGTCCCTGACCACCGAGGCTCTAGTCAGGCCCTTGAGTCAGACCCCCTGCTAACAAATTTCTGGAGCCACAATTGATATGTGTGTATTGTAGATTATTATTAGTTTGTTTATTTCCTTTTAAATTCATATTTTTTAAAATATGAATTTATGTATTTATCATATGTATGCTAATAAAACGTTTTAACTGCGAGGCCTATTAAATTGAATTTTATTTGCTGATAGCTAATTGATTTANNNGAATCATTTAACTAATAAGCCGATATTTCTTATACGAATACATAGTAAGAGAGTGTTCCAACATGAATGTTATGCTGTAGTTAATGTTTTATGGCTTTTATTTTATTTTCCACAAAGTGGGTTTCAGCGCAAACTGGGTTTAAAAAAACTGGGATTCGTAGTTTTTGATTCAGCAAACTGGCATTCAGCAAATTGTGTTTTGGCAAAGAGAAATAAAAAATCTGGCAGTCAGCAACCTGGGGTTCTACAATCTGGCGTAGAACCACCAAGAAGAAGCCGACACGAAAGTCTTCTGTATGCAAAGCATGCTTTAACGAATAACAACCAAGACATAGCAATAATCC